CTCCAAACTCAGGTCACTGTTCTCAAAACAGTTAACACAGTGATCTGAATACTTTGTAATTTTCCTAAACAGATTGAACGTTTTCATTAATTTCATACAAATTACAAATCATGCAAATAATTTTCTCAAAACAATGTGCACAAAACTCTCAAATGTTTGACAATAGTTAATACAACCAACCAATACTTAAAAAAAAAAAAGGTTTTACACGAATCACAAACATTTATGTACCATTTGTCCAAACACAACAAACAAAACTCTGTAATTTGTCATTATATCAAAAGAACATGCTATATTTTCGATTTGCCCTAAACTGATAACTACTTGGTTGATTATACACACAACACAGGAAATGCAGTTTTCCTAATTGTTTACACATTTATCACAATTGGTTTAGAGTAATAATAAAAGGGAAAGTATAATAATAATATTAATAATTCCTTACATTTATATAGCGCTTTTCTGGGTACTCAAAGCGCTTTACATAGAAAGGGGGAATCTCCTCAACCACCACCAATGTGCAGCATCCACCAGGATGATGCGACGGCAGCCATATTGCGCCAGAACGCCCACCATACACTAGCTTATTGGTGGAGAGGAGACAGAGTGATGAAGCCAATCAGTGTATGGGGATGATTAGGAGGCCATGATGATTAATAATTTGGCAAAGATGCCGGGGTTACACCCCTACTTTTTTTCAAAGGACATCCTGGGATTTTTACTGACCAGAGAGAGTCAGGACATCGGTTTAACATCTCATCCAAAGGACGGTGCTTGTTGACAGTATAGTGTCCCCATCACTATACTGGGGCGCTAGGACCCACGCAGACCACAGGGTGAGCACCCCTTGCTGGCCTCACTAACACCTCTTCCAGCAGCAACCTAGTTTTCCCAGGAGGTCTCCCATCCAGGTACTGACCAGGCTCAACCCTGCTTAGCTTCAGTGGGTGACCAGTCTTGGGCTTCAGGGTGATATTGCTGCTATAAAAAGAGCAAGAAAAATTAATAATAATAATAATAATAATAATAGAAACAAATACAAATGAAATAAAACTAAAAACAAATAATGAAATAAAGAGGTGTAAGTCTATAAGATGGTGAGTGGATAGAGAAAGGGGTGTAATGAGAGAGAAAATGAAGAGTGTGACAGGTAGAAAGAGATGAGCAGAGAGGAAGATGTGAGAAAAGAGGAGAGGAGAAGGAAATGGAGGAGAGATGAGTAGAGAGGAGGGCATTGGTGTAGTGGAAAGAGCATGAGGAGAAACTGTAAGATGACATGGACAGAGAGAAAGTGGACAACAGGGTATAAGGGGTGGAAGGAGAGGTAGAAGGTGCAGTTGAATTTAAAATGAAATCAGAATTACCCTAATTGACCATGTAAAAAAATCGTGGCCTCTCCTGGGGTGGGGGGTGTCCTCCTATAGTCCTCCAGGGACAGCTTATGTTATTTACTGTAAATGTCCAAACATTTTTCAGAATTTAAGTTTGAGATCATTCAGGTGGACAATCAAGATTATTTTGAATGGAACAGGAGCATTGCTGACATGGTGGTCCAGAACAACACCACCAGCCACAAAGGAAGTTGCCAGTGGAGATGATGATGATAATAATAATAATTTATTATATTTATATAGCACTTTTCTAAACACTCAAAGCGTTTTTACATTGTGAGGGGGTATCTCCT